TTAAGTCAATTTTTTGGTAAACACTAAGATAACTTTTAAAGTTTTTTGACAATATTTCTGGTGTTAATGGATTGCCATCGTCAATATTTTGCTGGCAGTTAGGGTACCTCCTTAGGGTTATTTGATGCCAATATGGTCAAAAAGTAAGATGGCGTATTTTGGGTATTCATAAAACGGCTGTTTGGTCAAAACGTTCTTTATGGCAAAGGCTGGGGGTCCCAAACTCGTTTCTCACTGTCTCATGTTGCCATTTACTGATTTCAACCCTTTTGAGCGCCTAAGGACACAATTTTTTAAAAACTGAGGTAGAAGTTTTAAAATTTTTTTTTTTTTTTAAATTTCAAAAAAGCACCATGGCTTAAGTCGGCTTAAGTCCTGAATTTTTTTTTGCAAAAAGAATTATTTGAGTGTTCCTTGGGTGGTAGGCTACGATAGGAAAATTTGGGAGCCGGATCTGAACAAGTGCGTTTTGGGCCGTGATGGATTGACGTGGAATGCCCCTGAGACCTTCAGCCTACTGTATCGGCTAGTCGGTACCGCCGCCGGGTGAAGACACTGGTTGGGATTGTGCCCAGATGAGAGCAGGAGATCATCAGTAAAACCACTAACACTGCCAATAAAACTTTCTTTAATACTGCAACATATAGTTATGCAAAAAACATTAACAATAAAAAGGCTTTTACTCATTCTGTTCACTCGTCTGGGACAGAAAAGAAAATTAACTCCCTAGAGTGTTACACTGAGAACAAAAAAGTGAAAACAAAAGATAATCTACACGCTACGTAATTACACAAGCTAGTGCTATGCACGCGCAGCCAAATGTAGTTATGCTAAATAAACGAAAACCAAATACTAAAAGATTACATACTCATTCTGTTAACGTAATCGGGGACAGAAAAGAAAATTAAACTCCCTAACATAGATCGAAAAAACAATCTACACGCGACACATGTAATTACGCAAGTTATGTGCTGCGATGAGAATGAAAACACAGGGCTTGGAACAGATTAAGACTAACGGTGCCGTCTGCCGTCAACTGGGGTAACTTCGGACACCCGGGT